TTGGAGTATTAGCTTTCAATTCTAAAATATTAGGTTCGAATCCTGTCAGTGACAATTCTCTAACTTAAGTGAATTTTTGACTCGAAAAAAATAAAAACACTTTCCGAGAAAATATAAATAAATATATATTTATACGGAATATATATTTATTTGTATATAAATATAATTAATTTGTAAGTTATTATCGGAAAATTATAGTAGTTTAGTGGTTGGAGTATCAACTTTCAACTTTAAAGTACTTGGGTTCGAACCCTACCAGTGACAATTCTCTAACTTAAAAGAATTTTTGGTGAAAACACATTCAACGTCGGTTCCAGATCAACCGACGTTGAAAGTTGACATTCAACGTCGGTTCATCTGAACAGACGTTGAAAGTTGACATTCAACGTCGGTTCATCTGAACGACGTTGAATGTCACTTTCTACGTCGTTTTTAATCAACCGAGCGTTGAAAGTGCATTTAACGTCGGCTCAGCTTTAACCGACGTTAAATGGCGACGTTGAAAGCATATTTTGTAGTAGTGATCCATTCCATTGATTTTCTTAACTATCAACAAAGTTTCTTTTAATGACTAAAAATTAATATTATATATATATATATATATTATATAGAACTAATGTTAAATATTATTATTGCAAGAGAAATTTATTCTTTATCATATTTATACATTTATTTAAAATCAAAGGACTATTTTCTCAAAATTGTCTTATTTTATATTAAAAGTTTGAGATAAGAAAAATTAATATAAATATATATATATATATATATATATTATAAAATAGAAATTATCAATACTTAAAAATATTAAAAAAAATCACATAAAATAATGAACAAATAATATAATAAGAAAATACTACAAATATTTATAGAATATTTATTAATCATATTCAACAGGACGATTTAATGATTATATTTATATTTATTATTATTATTAGAAGCTAACCTACCTAGGAGGGAACAATAATGATTGCAAGTATACTTTGATGGTGAGATACATTAAATTAGAATTAATGGTACAAAAGAAATGTTTGTATATGGCACGCATTGACGTGTGTGTAAAGGAGGAGAGAAACTTGGAGAATAACGAAGTGCCTTCTCTTTCTTTGGGGGTTGAGTTGACGGGCTGTGCAATCAGATGTTGGGGTGGTGCTGCTGCACGACGCAGCCACACACGCTTGCTTTAATCTTCTGCTGAACAATTGGACCCACTTACAAACCAAACATGATTTCATGTTACACTTATATTGTTATCCTTCGCAACCAGACTTTCTTGTTCTTGTCATGGTTGGTGTCTGCTATTGGGCATTGCAAGTGATGAATGGTTGGCACAGAAATGTGCAGCCGTTAAATCGAGTCTCCCTTCGTACCATGCACTCTCCGCTTCTTTTGTGGTGCCCTCTTTTTTCTACATATCCATATACACTCACCATTAGAGAGAGTGGACTAGTGCATCCACACACACAAAATAAATAATAAAAACAATCTCTTATTCCACAAAAAATCATCTATTTGCATCTTCGAAGGAATTTCGATGGAATTTGTTCTCATAGATAAAAAATGGAGCATTGAAATGACAAATGAAATTAGCCCGTATCAAAGTGTAGGAATCTAATGCCGCAAGAGTTAAAAGATGATGAAGGACGAATGCTTTTTTTAACCTTTAAACGTGACAATTCATCCTTTTTGCTTGGTACTTGATTGATAGGTGCATGCATGTTTATTATCATTGACAACCAAATGCCTCTAGTCTTCACAGATTTCAATTTCCTACGATTCTAACTTCTTTACGTTTAAATGGATAAATAGTTGTTTTCACTTTAATATTATTATCATTTAAGTATTTTATGTATTATTATTATTTTAAATAGTTCTATTCATTGTCTTTATAAAAAAAGTAACAAATTTTTTCTCAAATGTAGAGTTTATACTAAAAAAAAATTCAAGCTCAATAAAGAAATTTGTTGCTTTTACATAGTTTAACATGAGTGATAGTATATAATGCATGCATCCATTTAAAAAAAATGTAAAAAAACATATTTTATTGTATGTGTAATTATTTGTCTTTTGTGAAATTTAATACCCATCTTGCTTTTATGGCAACACACTACATGAATTAAAGGCAAGATTCCACAATATATGAAATGAAAAAAAAAAACATCTTTTTTTATCAATTTTTTAGAGATGGACACGTTGTACATGCGGTGAAAGCTGTATATTTCAGCTTTCTTGTTTCTAAATGAGTTTATATTCAACAACTTATATATATATATATATATATATATATATATATATATATATATATATATATATATATATATATATATATATATATATATACGATTCACAAAATATCTATAAATACCCTTAAATATAGAAAGAATTTATGGGCATGCATAATCAATAAGTACAATAGATGTTGAATTATTCTTGTTACTCAAATTACCATAAATATTCATTTCATTTTATCCAAGTCAAGTTTAAAGTTCTTTATATCATTCTCAACCTATACATATAAACAATTAATTTTATTTTTTTCATTAAAGAGAAAATAACTACATGATCTCATAATCATCAAATTTTATTACATAACACGTAAGATTCATTGTATCGTTCATTATCATACAAATACATAACATCTTGAAATGATTGAAAAATAGTATAAATTTTTTGCAAAATAAACTTTTTTTTAATAATATCATTATCACAATTATCATCATTCATTTTATAATAAGATATCAGATTAGATAGATTAACAACTGTAATATATAATTTCTAATTGTTGTTCCTAATATCCACATCTTATATTAGTTAAATATTACATTGATTAGAATAATTTACGATTTTAACAATAATTATTCTTAGTTTGATGTAATATTTTTATTATGTAAAATAATGGTAAAAGAAATATATGTAAACTATTATTTAATATTTCATGTAAGATTATCTGTAAAGAAAAGTAATAATTTTTTTTAATTATCGGATTTTAATATTTTATTGATTATTTAAAAATTAGTTAATGTTTATTTTCGATTTGAAATCTAAAAATTTTAAAACAAAAAATTCAATATTTTTTTTTCTAATGATAAAAACTAAATTACTGAACCCATAAAAAGAATTTAAAGCATAGAGATTTAAATTATTTTACCCATAAAAAATATTTAAAAAACGAAAGGAGTTAAAATTGAAAGGATCGAGCTTTCATGCACTCCAAATATCTTGTAAAATATTTTATCCAAATAGTATCTCAGTAAATGATGTATATTTCTTTATCTTACCTGTTTAAACATACTTCTCAGTTATACTTAAATTAACAACACATGTTTTGCTGGAAAAAAAAAATGATAAAATTGGAATTAGAAGGGTGACAAGACAATTCCGTACACCCTATATGAATTGGATACAACCACAGAAATTGGCCATATGTGTAGACATCTTAATAGTGGCATCATGTTTTACTCCAACTTTTTCTTTCCTGATTTTTGTGCCCATGTAGAGATGAGCATTTGTAGGCCACCAATTTTGATGGAAATGGTGTGCACTGTGTTTATCTAAACCCTAACATCGCCCATGCCTCAAAAGGACACAACCCATTTGAGAAAGGACAAGAGAGGTCAATAGTGTACTCAAAATCCTCATCCCATGCTATAGCTATTGCTCTCCAAACTTTTGGGTTATTCTTTTTCAACTAAGGTAAATTATGATTAAACATTTTATACAATATTAATTAGATATCTTATTTGTAGCTTTTCTTTATATTCTTAATTCAAACTTCATTTTTATATAATAATCGTTAATGATGCGTTCACCTTTTACATAGGATTCATATATCCACATAACTATAAGAGTGCCACCTTGCAATAAATGCTAGTTACTTGTCGTTTGATTATAGCTCTTCCAAGCTTTGGCAATGCAGAGTGGAAGGAATAATGAAAATACTTACCTAACTCTTTGGATTATTCTATTTTATTCTCCTATATCCTTTAATTTATGTCCTGTATCACAATGGACTAGAGCTTGCAACTACTAAACTAATGTTTTTTTTGTAATCATGATTCTTTCACAAAAGGTAAATTCTCCTACGTAGTGTAAGGATATATACAGGATTTGACTATTTTTATACTATTTAGCTTGATTCATGCTATAAACTTGCATCCAACAAACAGTGTTTTTGTGGTGGACATTAATAGATTCTTGGAAATGCATTATTTTATTTTTTGCAAATAGAAGGAACACAAATTCTTAGCTAACCAAGAAATCCAGCTTTAACTTGAAGCCAGAGTATGATCAGATTTGTTTTTTGGTTTTCCATTCTTAAAAAGTGGTGCCACGGAGATAGAAAACTGCCCCTTAATTTACATATATAATGGCAAAGCACTACGATATGCCCTTTACAAGGAATTTATAAAGTACAATGGACTTGCAGAGGATCTTCCAAATAAATTCCAACACATACTACTACTACTACCCTTTCAGAGATGGTTTATTTGGAATGTTCTTTAGTTGTACTTCGCCACTATCTGACTTTTTGTTTTTCTTTTTCCCATACCAACTATCTTGTACTTCACCCTTATCAGATTAGTTTGGAATGAAGGGAAACGTTCGATAGTGGGGAATCGCCTAATAAGTTTATATAGGTAAAATGCAGTAATACAACCATTCCTATCCAAGAAAATTAAGAAGAGCCTTGAGGGATTGGACATTTAAAGCATAAAACAATAACGTTTGCATTTGCAAGTTGCAGCCAAGCCCTCTTAGATTTGCCAAAACATTTTAGATCTAATCTTTTGGGGCATATTTTATTTTCTTTATCATATCATGCAAGTGGGCCATAATAGAGAGACAGATTAGCAAAGTAACCAAAACTGTTATCAAGAACAATGTTTATTATATCATGCAAATGTTAAAAAGTGGGTGCCACTTTTTGTTGCCTTGAACGAGATAGGATTAATAAGGTATTTTAGGCAACTACAGGGAAGCATAAAAAGTTGTGAAGTACTATTTTAGAGAAGGAAAATAGATATGGCAGCTCCTGATATGTTGTGAACACCAACAAGGTGTTGAGTGAACATGAAGCGATGAAGACCCTCTTGAAATGTGATAGTTACTACAGTGTTCTTCAGACATCTGTAATCTCATAAACTGCTTCTAATGAATGTCACTGGCCTCATGCACATAGTGCTATTCAGTTCTCATCCAATCAATTTGGAGAAAGCTTAACGTAAAGGATCAAAATTCAAAAGTGAGATAGAAAAGGAAAAGCATACTGAACACAAGTCATTTTATTATATCAGTAATGGATTCCAAAAGCTATCGCCTCAATTGTTTATAGTTTGTCATTTTGATTAGAACTGCATCAAGGTAACAAACACTAAAGGAACACAATTTTAAATCTCATTAGTACTTTGTCTACTGCAGAATATCATAATATGAACTCAAATAAACTGGTAAACAGAACACCAAAGCGTGTAATCAGGTTCACTCTGAGTATGCGTAATTTTGGTTGCCTTGATGGGGTTAATAGAAGAGAGTTTATACATGATGAATGGTTGGATTTTAGGTAGAAGAAGTTGATTTGCTTAAAAAGCACAATTGCTCCAGCATAGTCCATTCAATCCATATATGTTAGTGGCTCATGAGTCATCATAATTATAATAATAATGACTATCAAATATCAATTCTTGCTCCTTTTAAACTCTTCATTGCGTCATGTATGAAAAGAAATTATTGGTTGTAAGAGTTTACAGTTTTCGAAATTGGGTAGGGACCTCAAGAAAAGCTCCCCTGAAATTGACTTTGGCTTCGTTTTGTATGTGCTAAAAAGATTTTAAATTGCCAATCACACTACATGATGCGGCTGCAACATTTCGATTATGGTGACCACTACAAACACATCAAACAGTGATTAAACAGTTTACTGGACCGTAATATTGAAGTTTTTGACGTCTTTATGCTCACAATTGTAATTTCCTTAGTAGCATTTGTCAACAATTTTCTATAAAATAAATATCACAAAGAAATCGAAACTGCGACCATAATAACTTGGTTGCAGATTATATTGATCATAAATTGACTCTTAAGGTAGACACAATGGTTAAACATGATCATAGAAAAGGTGTGGAGATGATATCAGTTCATTAACCAAGACCTTTAGGAGTTTTTTCGAGGACCTAGACATTAAACATCATGTATCCTCAATTGAACATACTCACTATATTCAGTCATAATATCACGACCTGAGATTCGTCTTTGCCCGTGAACCAAAAAACATCTCTAACGAAACAAAAGAAAAACATCAACAAAGCTCACTCTGTTGTTACATGTCCTTGCCATTTTTTTCCTTTAAATTTCCTTTAAGCATCATCCTCTCTTTTTTCCCGTCGAAGGATCCATCCTTTGCCAAAATTTTCAAGTCTTAAATTTCCATTACACATTTACACCATATTAACAACGAGTAATGTGAAGATATACCCGAGATATAAATAACATAGATTACAGAAAAGTAATATTAATACACATAGCCACATACTTATAACCCAACAACTTTATGACATGGACTCTGGACAGCCACTTATATGATAAAAAGTGGTCTTTTTCTGGATGTATATCTCATACCACATGCATACATTAGGAGCACTTCCCAATTATTGTTGAATTTCTGCTCATGTAAGCCCTTGTAGTACCTCTCTGCCCAAACTGACCCCACTTTTCTAGCCATCATCTTCTATAAATTCACCCCAACTCTCACGCAACCTTCCCCAGTTCCAACATCATCTCAGACTCTCAACACACCTTTCAACCACGCCCTTAAAAGAATCATCTTGAAAATTAGTTCCAAACTTCCAACCATGGTTCCTAATGAGATCAGCGGAGTCCACTATCTAGCACATGAAAATCCATTCCTAGTTCCACCCAACTTTGGCCTTCTGCAAAGTGACATCCCAAACCTCCATCTCAACGCCCTCCTAAGCAACTTTCCAAACTGCCACTTCCCTCCTTCAGGCCTCGAATTTGTTGTTCCTCCCTCCTCATGCCTCAGCAGCAACTCAACCTCTGATGACGCTGATGAAATCCAGTTCAACATCATCGACGAAAGGAAGCACAGGAGAATGATATCGAACCGAGAATCCGCCCGCAGATCGAGGATGAGGAAGCAAAAGCACTTGGATGAACTGTGGTCACAGGTTGTTAGGCTCAGAACTGAGAACCACAACCTTATTGACAAACTCAACCATGTGTCTGAGTCCCATGACAGAGTCCTCCAAGAGAATGCACGCCTCAAGGAAGAAGCTTCTGATCTTCGCCAAATGATAGCAGACATGCAAATTGGGACCTCCTTTGCTTGCACTATGGAAGATTTGGAGGACTTACCATGCAACAAACCTGATCCCTCAAACCAATCAATCACTCCTGCTGACATGATTCATGAATGAGGCTATTCTCCACTATATATACCCAAACGTATTGCTCTATATATGCCTTCTTCTTACTTTAGATTTCTATGATCTTTGGTGCCTCCATTGGAGATGTACGAGTTTAGAAGCATATCATATATGACTTATCAAATAATTAACAGCTTTACATGTTCCTTGCTTTTGTATCATTATAATATCGAGAGGATTAAGTTTACGTCCGTAGTACAAAACAAATAAACAGTTAATTGTCTACCATATCGCCGCGTCCTTATCTTGATGTTGATGAAGCAGTGTACCTAGCCAGAATATCATATTCCCATTTCTCTGTATCCATCATATAAACTAACCAGATAAAATGGTTCCTACATCATTTTCACACTAAACTAAAATCCCATAACCCAAAATGGAACAGTTATCAACGAAAAACCAACGAAAGGCCACAAAAAAAAAAAAAAAAAAAAAAAAAAACTATTGGGAATCAAACCATTTCATCTTTTCTTTAAGAAGTAGCCGCTACTGGTAGCTATCTAGAGTTTTGTCTTTTGTAGCACCAAGGGGAGTGAGGTATGCACGTGCAAAAGTAAACAAGGTATCATAAATCTGAAAGAACACCGAAAAGGGTGTCCATTGTTGAACAGAGTGTAACAGGGTCAAAACGACAAATGGTGGTGGAGGTGCTGGTGGTAGTGGATCGTCACAAACATTACTACCACAAGAAGCAAAACATATAATCAAAAGGGTATCCACTAAAAACACCAAAACAACTATTCTGAGGCTTTTACTCTAGGTACCCCATCTTTAATTCTTGTGTCACTAACGTGGATTATGTAATTAAGTGGAGCCAATGCTTCAGGTGTTGGTTCAAACAGTACTTGTAACAAAGAGACAAGGAAGTGCATGCATCAAGGTCCAGCAGCATGTCTATCTTAAAAATTGTCAAATTGTGTCTTTCCTTTTGCAGGAGCGTGATTTAAACACTCAGCAGCACATGAAGACAGGTTCTGCATAAGGTTGGGGATTTGCTTGTATCATAAAATTTTGGCAAAATTAAACCAGACATAGGATAAACTTTGATAGATGGATGGAGAGAGGCGTGTGGCACCATCATGATTTTATTGTTGACAAGAGAATCTTGATAGCATTATGTGCAAATCGTGCAGCTTTTGACAATCGTCAAATCAGGTCGCGTTGTTGTTAAAATGCTTGCCAAATTTTGGAGAAAAAGTCAAAGCCCAAAATCTTCAAGAAAGTTGTGATGTTTCTATGAACTGAACGTTGTTGATGGTTATATTATATACTATATAAGAGGCGTGTTTAATTTGACCTGAAAAAGAGTTAATTTCATCTGTGTAAATAATGCTGTTTTGATTATTAAATTTCTGTGTCTCTTGTAGAAGATATGTCATTTGTACAACTTATCAGGCACTAAAACTAGAGTTAGTTGGAAATCAATCCAAGCGAACGTATGATCGATCCACTGGAATATGATAGCGTCCAGAAATTTCTGTGAATCTTAATGCTTTTCCATATTTAATAAAAATATTTAATTTCACTTTCATTTGCACATTTTTATTAAATAATTAATAATCATAATTTTCTGTAAAACAATTACCTATGGTATTTTAGATGAGGAGCTACACTTGGACATTCTATGTATGGTTATCGTACTCATCACACCAATCCAAGTACGAGTGTCAAATTTAACTTGGACAAAAACTAGAATTAACATTTTAAATAATTATAGGAGAATTTCTACTTTTGAATTATATACAAGTTAATTTTAATTTATCAAAATTTTTTTATTTTAGTTTTAGAATTTTTTATGGAGAAATTGGTTGAATATAACTACGACAATGTAATACTTTTAAATATATACATATGGGAAAAATACATAATTTATGCGGATGAGAAAAAAGAATTGCAACATACATGACTACAGTTTTCATTAAGTAATGTAACTCAAACATGTAAGATTTTTCTATTCTCATTTAGTCTTTTCTCAATTTCAATCTCAATTTCGCAAACCCTTTATTTAATCCAAGTTCCTGCTACTATTGTACGTTATTGCTTTCTACGATCAATTTATTGTTATTTTACTTTGTTAATATCATAGTTCAAGCAATGATTTATTGAGTTTTTAAATATTTTCCTTTGGTCATAATAGATTATATTTCAATAAGATGTTCATAAAATGCAAGTATTACAAATTTAATATAAAACAACATAAAAAAATTATTTGAAATTTTGTTAGAACATAATGGAGTGTTTGAACATGTTAGAGTGTTAGAAAATTTATTTTATATATTTATGTAAAAAATGATAACTTGTATTTTTAGTATTATAACATAGATAGTAAATATATAATAGTTTGGATTATTGAAGCACCACCTTCAATTGCATAAGACAACTTCAATTCACTAGTACAAAAAACACCTTTAACATCGGTTCTTAGCGACTTTTTATATCGGTTCTACAACCGATGTAGATACAACCGATGTAGAAAGTTGGTGAGTTATAGCTATAACCGATGTGGAAAATCAGACTTTCTACATCGGTTATGACCTAGAACCGATGTGGAAAGTATTAAAAATCACTTTCTACATCGGTTATGGCCATAACCGGTGTGGAAAGTCATATTTTTTTTTAAATACGAATTTTAGTTTTTGATTTTTCAGAACTCGTACAACATTTTAAATATTTACAGCTACTCAGAATGTTAATCTATATATAGAGGACATGCATTAACACACAAGTAAACATAATGTATATTATATATCTACATTGTATTGTATCAACAAAAACAATAAACATGTATTGTATTCTAAGTTTATATATACAAAGAAACTAGCAGTCCTAATGTTTCACAATTAAATTCAATCACGACTATAGTTCTTAATAACAAAATCTGCCCAAATTCGTCTAATATCATCAATCTCTGCTTCACTTATTGGATGACCATCATCGAATATCTACAAAAAAAAAAAACATTTCGGATAAGCGAAGTAGGCAAATATATGTCAATGACATAGATATAGTCATAACACATACCAAATTCCATGAATCTGTGATATTTGTCTGTGATGATTGTTAACATATGTCTCATCACATAATATCCGCACTCCCAACTTCCTTTTTGCTTATTACACTATAAGAAAAAAAAAACATTAAATACAGAAAATGAGTAAATTAAAGTTAAGAATTTGAAAGATAATGTCCTTACACGTGGAAGTATCCATGTGTGTTTCTTTTTAGGCTTACCCTCCATGACTGAGTATGCTTCTATACACCTATAAAAGATTAAATGGAAAATACTTCATATTTAATCTGTCATGAACCAGACCTAGAGTATTTAATTAGTCACAAAGACAAATTCATATATAAGGGTGTTAGTATACTTACACATCAATAATCTGTTTAATTTCCTTTTGGGGTTTATTCCATAAAGAGCATAAAAAAATAGTCTCATTACGTTTAGGACAAAGGATAAACAGTTGCCAGTGAGACCTACAAAAAATGTCGCTCAATTAGCAATTCTTAAGAGATTCAAAGTTTGAAAGTAAGTAATTTAAAAAAACTTACCCATAATGATATGGTTTAAAAAATGTCCCGAACAGCAACTGGTAAAAGATGTTGCATTAATACATGACAGTCATGGGACTTTAATCCAACTAACTTCAAGTCTTTCATTGACACTAGCCGTTTAATATTCGAGCAAAAACCCTGAGGCACTTTGATACCTTTAAGACATTCACAGAGGCTTTTTTTCTCCTTCTTAGACAAAGTATAACAAGCTGGAGGCAAATAAGTCCGCTTACCACGTGATTGGGGACCTAATTCCTGTCTTATGTTCATATGAAGCATATCTAACCGAGAGTTCAAACCATCTTTCGTCTTTCCTTGAATATTGAGGAGGGTTCCAATAAGACTGTCACAGACATTCTTTTCTACATGCATAACATCAATATTGTGCCTTACATCTAGACTAGACCAATAAGGAAGCTCAAAAAATATGGGATTTTTCTTCCATTTTTCCTTTTCATGGGAAACTGTTTGGGTCTTTCCAAACAAACAATGAATGTCTTTCACCTTCGAATACACTTCCTCTCCTGTTTTAGGGTTAGGAGCGATTTGACTCTCTTGAAAGCCATTATAAGCCTTCTTCAACCTCCGATATGGATGATTAACTGGTAGAAATCTTCTATGTCCTAGGTACACTCGTCTTCTTCCCATGTTTCGAGTTGATGATAACACGTTTCTTCCATACAAATAGGGCATGCATTATGTCCTTTGACACTGTATCCACTTAGATTTCCATAAGCGGGAAGTCATTTATCGTACAAAAAAGCAAAGCTTGCAATTTAAAGTATTCATTACGATATGCATCAAATACCTCAACACCCTCTTCCCAAAGAAGTTTTAAGTCTTCAATCAAAGGTCAGTAAATAAACATCAATGTCATTTCCTGGTTGTTTGGGGCCGAGAAATCATCATCGACAACATTACAAACTTGCGTTTCATGCACAATCGATGAGACAAGTTGTAAATTACTAACAAAACAGGTCATGAACTATGTATACTACTTAAATTGCCATAAGGATTCATCCCATCCGTAGCAAGTGCTAGTCTAAGGTTTCTCCCCTCTTGACCAAATTCGGAAATATGTCATCAATTTTTTTCCATTGCGAGAGAATCAGCTGGATGTCGTATCTTCCCATCACGATGTCTTTCATCTACATGCCACGTTAAGCTCTTTGCATCTTTGGCATTAGCAAATAGCCGCTTAAACCTTGGAATTATTGGAAGATACCACACTACTTTGACAGGGGTTCCTGATGAAATTGTCTTATCACAATTATCTTCTCCATCCTTGACTTTAAACCGTGATGTACCACAAACAGGACAATTATGCAAACTTCCAAACTCCTTCACTGTACGGGATGCAATCATTACGGCATGCATGTATCTTCTTATACTCCATATCCATCGGACAGATTACTTTCTTTGCTTCATAAGTACGG